AAAAATTAATAAGCAGCCAAATAGACCAGTGGCTTTTAAGGCTACTGTTATTTTCTATTGCTTTGAGTGATTAACTTTAAAATGTGGATGATAATGTCTTTGCTCATTCTAAGATATTAATAATTTATTCTTTACTTTCCATTACTTTATTCAGTCAATCAAATTCTTCAATGGGGCCAAATTAATGGACTCGCAATAACAGGCTCTATCATGGAGCATGGGAAATAACTTACTTGAAAGTTTGAAGATACAGCTTTTTCCCAGGTCTTTTGACTTCTTTGGGTGTTGGCTCTTTTCACCTGTTAGTTGGCTGATAGAGTTGATGATTTCGAAAATCTTTCACAGTAGTAAATACTCCCTATGTGATTTAGAATACACTAAAAAATTAATGGTGATAGAAGGAAATACATATTTGCTCTAAAAACAAGTTTGTCAGATCTGATTTATTTGATGTCAAATATGTGATCAAGAAGAAAAACCTCAGTTTTGACTCTGATCTTGAAAAATGTGACCCTTGCAGGAGAGCACCTGTGGGGAGAATTTTGCGTTGCCAATACTGAGCCATCAGAGGCCAGATGCAGAGTAAGGACCAGAGGCACTATACAATCCTGAGTCATCAAAGAATGATTAAATTATGTTCAGGAGACTGTAATTAACTCAAGGAGAAGGCTAATGTACTTTGGAAAATAATCACTAGCAGATGTTAAAATAAAAATTATGTTCTCTGTGGTCTTTACTCAACCATAAGTCTATAGTCACTAGAACACCTTATTCCCTAAGCATCCCTATGAACCAACATTTCACCACACAAAGATTAAATATAGACAATTATCAAGAAACTGGAGAGATAGTCTTATATTTTTATTTCATCTGACAAACTGACAAATGTATGTATTTCTAAATATGACGTTGAGAATGATGTGCTTTTGTGTATTGGCATACAGAGTTTTCTTTAAAGACTTTGTTTCATTGCTTTTTGAAAACCTTTCCTAATTCTCTCTATAGGATTGACTATTCTGTGGTCCCCTATATTGTGTTTATGTTTACTCCCAAACACCTAAAGCACATTGTCAAGCTTACTTTTTCCCCACATCTGTCAAGTTGGCATTCAATAAAGGTCTGCGAGTGTTTAAAATAGTCAGGAACCCTGGTGAAGGAAGCTTCAGTGACTGCTGACTTCACATGTACCTCTTTTCTGTTTCATTTTGTTTTTAAGAGTTTGAATTTATACACTACTTTATTTTATATCTTTTCTGTGCTCCAACTCTGACTGCCCACTGAGAAACAGCAATCATGCAAAAGTAGCTCTGGGACCATTTTTACAGGCTGATTCTAGAACCCGAACCCTAAAAATGGGTTCTGCTTGCCCCCGCCTCCTCATGTGAAAACACCCTTTTCCTGTATGCCTTTTTGACTTGCGGAGCCTGCTATATTGCTGTCCTAGCTATGACTTGCCCCTGGTTCTAAAATTACCAATTTTTCCTTCCCTATAGTAGAATCTCTTTAACCCCTTTTAATCTTCTTTGCAACCTGAATCTCAACCCAGCCTTTGCCTTCACATTGAAACTGTTTCTAAAGATCTAAGCTTTAGCCACATTGCTCAGTGTTGGTGTGTGTTTGTGTATTTTCACAGCCTGTGTCTACACCTCCCAAGTTGTCAATTTGCATCCTTTGTTATCAATGTAGACTTTCCAAGATCGCACCATTGGCCCATTTAAAGCCTCTGGGTGTTTGTTTGTTTGTTTGTTTGTTTGTTTGTTTGTTTGTTTGCAATGGGGGAAAAGACTTCTCTCCACGAAAAACAAACAAACAAACAAAAAACCACCTTTGCAATTGGTGAAGTGTATCTAAAACATGTATTTCTCTTCCAGGACCTTCTTGCCATCTTTCTCTACTATTTTGAATCTCTTTTGCTCCCTACTATAAATTGAAAGTTTCTATATAAATTAGAAGTATGAAGAGTAGTGTTTACTCCAAATAGTGTATATTTGTTTAAGCTGAGAACTGAAAGTGATAGGAGATGCTTCTATTTGCTTAAGAAGTTTGCCAGTGAAACCTTAACTGCTTGCAAGATTCATCAAAAACCATTATTAGGGCCTCCCCGGTGGTGCAGCGGTTGAGCGCTGGGTTGCAAAGCTGCCCACAGCCTCTGCAGTGCCGGTTCGATCCCCGGCTGCTCCCCGGCCACCAGAGGAGGGTCCCACATGGCGCGCAGACCTCTCCTGCCGCCCGCTGCTCCCCTCAGCAGTGTACTTCAGTCCTTCTGCCTGCTCTGCTCCCCGCTCTGGCTCTGGTGAATTCTCTCACCCTCCTGCGCTGCTGACTGTACCCAGTGCTTGTATAAATAAATAAACAAATCTTTAAAAAAACAAACAAAAAAAAAACTATACTTAAAAAAAAACATATTAAACCATTAAGTCAGAACTGATCTTAAAATAATTTGGAAAAAGCCACTGCTTTTTATTCTTCAAGGGAAAACCAAACATGATATAGGTCATGAATTTTTAAGTCATGCAGCAAAAACAGTTTTTGAATCCTCTTCGTGAATAGAGGCAATTTCTGAAATCTGAACTTCCAGATATATGTGCACGTCATGAGCCAAGTGTTTCCTATTTCATTTCCAGTAGCCATGGTCCCCAAAATTTAGATTTGGAAGTTAGAACTGGGGACACTGGCCCTTCACAGCTTGTCTGGCGAGGGAGAGGGGGAGGAGGAGGCACGCACGTGTTTCATGGGGCCTGTGGAGGCTTTTGGTAGGAACAATGACTTCTGGGTCTGGGAATGACTGGGTGCCTGTCTGGAGTTACAACACAGCTAGTGGGAATAGGTGTCAGTGCTGTCTTCTGAGGATTGCATTCTGCTTTCCCTCTTAAAAAAAAAAAAAAAAAGATTTGTTTATGCATAGAAGAACTGGGGGCTAGGTGAGAGGTGCAGGAGTCACCAGAGACAGAGTGGGGAGCAGAACTGGCGGATGTACTGAAATACCCTGCTGAGGGGAGCAGCAGGCGAGACAGGAGAGGTCTGCTGGGTCATGTGGGTCAACTCCCTGACTGGATAGAACTCAGGCCATACCTGTGACAGCACTGAGAATTAACCCCAAGGCCACCAAGGAAGCCCTACTTTCCCTCTTAGCTCTGTGTGCAGAGGCTATGGAGTTGGCACTCATCAGTAGTCACTGAGTTCTGCATGTTATTGTTCCCTGTAAATAGCTCTATGGGTTGAATGTTTATGAGTTGGGTGAATTTTGCCTAGAATGCAAAATGGCTCAGTGATTTATTCATTTTTTCCTGAGGGATGCCATGCTTTATTTTTGATTAGTTCATATTGCCAAGGTAGTTGTTTTTAATAACTCTTTAACTTAATTATTTTTTAAATAAAAGAGGTACTATTTGAATTGTTAAAAACATGAAGATAGTTAATTATCTTATAGAACATATATGTCTATTTCGGGGTGGGGGGGAGCACTGTCACAGTTCCCTGAGTGGTTCATCAATCATACTTTATGATTTTGATGAAATTCCAATTTTGAGAATTGTAGAACTTGTCAAATGTCATTTTAAGTGCCAGCAAATGGCTGATTTGAGGCAAGAAGAACAAAGTTTAAAAAAGAAAATAAATCTAGCATTTGCTTAATAATTTGCCCTTTGCAGCAACAGAATCTTATCTGACCACCCACGTTCATCTGGCTGCTGACGTGGTTCTTGCTTCAATTGCAGAAGCTATTTTTGCACCTTTTGTGTCTTTTGAGGAACCGAGTGGGCCTACTTGCTTATAATGATTCACGTCTGAAAGTGCACAGGGTGTCCTGAAGTGCTACTGCAGTGATGTGCAGGAACGAGGAGGAAAATTAAAGCAAGCTGCTTCTTTTAAGCACTTGGAATGTTCACATGTAGCAGTACTGGATGATTGAGGCACGCTGTTAGGTTTTGATATTTTAGTTCTTCCTATGAAACAGTAAGTTTGCTGGAAGAAAGGACAATGTTTTCAAAAATGAACACATATACAGTCACTATTTATGGAGAGCATAGGTATATATTTATATGGACCTTTTATACTGGGAGATTAACCATTTTAAGATGGTTGAGTGGTTAATCTATTTGGATTAAGTAGTTTCACCAGCCTGCTATGCATTTCTTGGGATCAGACTTGGATAAATATTAATTCTAAGTATGAGAAAGTCCCTTTCTTCATTACTTGCCAGAGTTTGCTGTTTCAAGATTTTACTTTGGTTGGTTTTGGCTTTCTATTTCAGGAATTAATTTTAGCACAAAACATAACAGTACTGGAATAAACTATAGAAAAGAATTTGCAACAAGCTTATCTGAGACTTCATCCTGTGGAGTTTTGTTGTTGATGCACCAAAAGAAGTTTTGTGGGAATCTCAGCTTTGAGGATGAACTGTATCTTCAGCAGCAGTGGCTTCATTTCCAGATCCACTGCATTAAGTTTTAACCCTAGCATTATTTTCCTAACTGCCTCCCTTTTCCTATTAGAGGCAAATCTCTTTTCATACAAGTTTTTATTAAAAGATTTGAATGGTGCTTATAAAAATGAAAACTTTTTTTTTTTTTTTAAAGATTTATTTATTTATTTATACATGCACTGGGTACAGTCAGAAGCGCGGGAGGGTGAGAGAATTCACCAGAGCCAGAGCGGGGAGCAGAGCAGGCAGAAGGACCGAAGTACCCTGCTGAGGGGAGCAGCGGGCGGCAGGAGAGGTCTGCGCGCCATGTGGGACCCTCCTCTGGTGGCTGGGAGCAGCCGGGGATCGAACTAGCGCGCTGCAGAGGCTGCAGGCAGCTTCGCAACCCATCACTCAACCGCTGTGCCACCGAGGAAGCCCTAAAAATGAAAACTTTTCTTAAAAAAAATCTTGAAAGTTCCAGTCCACATTTGCTTTCTACAAGGAAGGCCTTTCTTTCTGTGAGTGAAGAATAAGCACTCCTATTACATGCACTATTATCGTCATTGTTTAAAAAATCTTCTTGTTCATCTTTTAGATTCCCGGAAGTTGTGCATGAGTTCCTGTGGAGAGAGCTGGCATCCCAGAAAGCAAAGCCAGTTGTGATGCAGATTTTTGACATAAGGCTAACAGGTTAATAACTCAAATTTAGTATTTCATTCTAATGTTTTTATATTTAATTTGAAAAAAGTTTTGGCCTACTCTGTACGTGTGTGTTCACTGACTTTGTCATCAAATCTGGGAGGAAAAAATGTACATGCCATTTAGAAAAGTGCAGTAAGGATTTGATTTGGTTGATTTTGTTTTTCATATTAAACCAGCTTTAATTACAAGTTCCTGCATGGAGGTATATCATTTAAGAGAGTTTCTTTCCAGCAAAGTTTACTTTCATGTAAAATTCTACTTAATAAGTCCTAATAACTTTGGCTCTGCAGTGGGAAAACATTCCACCAGAAAAGCAAAATTATAATTATAAAAAATAAATAATAAATATTTATGACAAAATAAGTCACAAATGTCTCAAAATATGAAATGATACAAATATCGACAATGAAGTCTATCAATAATGAAGTCTTCATTTTAGCCAACATGAAAAGAAACAAGGTTCTGTTTTCCATTGGGTTTTAAATATCAGATTAGATTTGAATGTATGTCAAATTAGTGGGTGATCACCACCATCTTTTTACTTTCCTCCAAAAGTTCTGTGAGCTGCTTGGCAGGGTTTTATAGAATATAGTGTCCTCCTCATATTGACAGCTGGCTGATTTTAGGAAGAATACTAGGGTTGTTATGAGAGTTTTTACTAATAAAGGAAGCATTTATAATGAGTTTGGCTCTCAGGAAGGTGCCATTTTTTAATCATCCTGTGGAAATAAGTCTGTATTCAGTTGGGCCCTGGCACTGGTGAGGGTAATTTGGGTAGATCTCTTTTTCCTCATTTGGTTCTCTTACATGTGGTAGGGCTTGTGGGACTGTCAGTGTTAAATCAGCGGTGCCCTGAGATACTCATGTATTTTGTAAATATTTTCTAATTCCACCAATGTCATTTTAAAAGCAAGTATATGTACTTAGCATCTAAAATTTGTTCAGTAGTTATTATCTTAAGACATATATTTTGTTTATAAGTATAAGACCATCAAATTCTCAAAAAGAAGATTGAATAACCATTTCAATCTTAAAAAAGGTCCTTCTATGAAAGTATTGGGAGTAGTGTTTGATGCTAGTTATTTGATACCACTGTTATTTAGGATGTTATTATTTAATACTCACTTGACTTTTGCCACCACTCAAGTAATGATTAATTTCCTGAGGTAAAGGTTTTTTTCTAAGATTACTGTTTTTCTACGCAAAAGATTCTAGATTGACAACCCTGGATACTGTGGGCCTTTATTCATCTGCAGAGCAAGCCTGCCTGTTTGCCAATCCCACCCAGCTGCTATCCTGAGGAGACCTCTATGGAGGTCTGTAGAGAGGCTGCTTCTGTGCCTTTCCTTTTGGGCCCGCCTGAGGAAATGATTTAACTGGGTGCCAAATTTATTTGAGTGGGGTTGTGGAGCGTGGCCAAAGAAGTGGGCACACTTCTAGAAAAATGGCAACTCTTCCATGTAATATCATTTTCTTTTCTTTTGCTCAGTTTCTTTCATTCCCTTATCCCTGAAATAGCCATGCAAAAAGCAGTATCTTTTCAACACCCCTCTGAAAATGTGCTGAGCCTGCTAAGTCTACGCTTGTCTGCACTCCCCAAAGACTCCCATGGGCTGGAGCTCCCTCCACCAGAAACCCCAAAGTCATATCCTCCAGCAAAATAGCTTACTCTTTCTGTAGCCCTCACAGGCATTAGGGGAAATGTTAAATGTGAAGCTGTGTTTGAAATACCTCTCCTTTGTCGGTGATGGCTGCCAAAAATGACTTTACATGTGTTTTGTTACCATAAAAAGAAATCTCCGAGAAAGGGATGATAACTGGCTGTTTTCTTTTCACAAGAATCTATTCTATGAAATGAAATTTCATAGATTTTCATTTCCAATTTGGCATCTTCAAACATATCAGTTGATGGGGAACACTGGAGATCTACCTTTAACATATAATTGGAGAGGATGGAAAATAAAATGAACCTACACAATCAGAGAGAAATAATATAGCTATAATTAAGCACATTACTGTAGATCTTTATAGCTCTAAATAGATCTGTAGCAAGAAAGTTAAGCTGGAATTGCAGATACATTCAATCAATAGTATGTTTGATGGCTTATAATAATCTTATGAAGTCCAAGGAGTCCCTGTCAATAAGCTTCTTCATATGTGTAGGTAATCAAACAGAATCTCAGGAATTTACACCATTGTGGAGTTAGAAGGCTGAGTAAAATTCTCACCTAACAAAAAAAAAAAGACAAATGTCATTATCAAACGTGGCTTAAACTTCAGATGCCTTGTAGTGTTTCCACTATTTCTTGACATAAGTATACATTGAGGTATACATTGAAGAGAGCAGCAAAGAGACTTTTCAACACTCCCAAATCCCACTTTTTCTTAAAGAGACAAGCATGTCATGTCCAGTAACAGATTGCTGTGAAAAGAATTCATAATACGGACTTTTTAATTTTCCAAGAGGAAGCAACTGTAGACACAAGATTAGTGAAAAGATTCCACAATTTCACAGTTCATGAGTATGAGCGCCTGAAGGACTGATTTTTCCTCTCTCTGTCTTTCTCTGTATGTCTCAGAAACTCTAAGAAAGGAAAGTGTTTTTATGGCTGGCACTTAGTTGAAATCTCTTCAAGGAGAGAGTACTAGATGCTCAAATGATTTTAAAATCTAAGGTAAAATGTTCCTGTGAAATAGGAATGATTTCCAGTTCCCTAATAATATTCTTAAGTCTTTCATTGACGTGAAAAGGTAGAGATACTGCAGCTCAGAGATGTGTAGACTGAGGCAGCTCAGTACAGCTGGGACTTCCAGCTCAAATACAGAGTTCTTCCTGTTTTTCCTGAACAAGCAGACATAGGGAGCTTGACATGGGTGTCATCTAGTTTCATAATAAAACAGTGAGACATCTTAGGTAGGCTTGTCTTAGAAATTTAAAAGGAAGAAATTTTCTACAAAAGTTAGTTGCATAATTAAGTCAATGGGTTTGAATTTTTAACCATTTCTGGATAATAAATGCTCTTGGCATATTGGATGTTACTGTATTAATATCAGCAAAATTTTTATTTTTTAATAAAATAGTAAATATGATTTTTTATGATTAGCCCTCTCCTAAAAATCAAACCCAGCAACAATTAACAAACTGTTCTAGATAACTTTTATTCTATTAAAACTCTGCCTTTGAACTTTATGTAAACCTCTTGCCTTCATCTTCTGGACTATCCTTCAAAAGTGAGATATTATTTTCTTTTTTTGAATTTCATTTGGCACATCTTTTTTAATGATATGTCTGTAGTGAATAGGAATTTTCTGTGTTGTTTTGGGTGTAACAGCTGTAATTTTTTACTGTAAGCCATCAAACTAAATCTGATTTAAATGTTAAATGAAAATGTTCTGTTCTACTTAGCTATTAAATATATTATCCCTGTTTTTAATAAAAACTTTATGTACTTGCTTAACTGAAAATCTTTGTTTTTAGGAAAATTACATAATCTGTGTAAACTAACAAATGGGAAGTGACCATATGCTTAATTTTCACTTGTGGGGTTCTTAAGTTTCCTGAAAAATAATGCTTTTTAGAGAACAAAGTAAAACAGTTGTCATGAGAATTAATCATGTTCTTCTGAGGAAATGTCCTCATTAATACTTTCATATACAGATTTTGAATATTTTGTAAATTATGCACTTGGTTGATTTCTACGATATAGTATTTTGGGGCCTTTTTCTGTAATGCTGCCCTACAAACTCATATATTTTCCCAGAATCATGAAAAATTCAAGCATTAGAATTATTGAAATCAGGTGAAAATGGAGGAAGCATTACTAAAGACATATTATTTTTAAGTTGTGATAAAACTTAACATGGAGCTGGGGGTGGGGGCTCCTTGGAAGTGGGAAGGTGAGACCCCCTTAGGCTTGGAAGTCATCCAAACCTGGAATTGACTCTTGTTTCTGATACTGAACCTCCCTAATGGCTATTATGAGAAGGAACTGTTGATTATAGATGTCTTCTACAAATCTTTGAGGGCTACTTCTCACCCAAAGATTTATTATCATTTTATAGGAATTTCCATGTTCTTTTCCCCTTTCAAAATGGCATTCTATATCAGTGAGCAAATGGGACATGAAAGTAAAACCAATACCTGAGTTTTAGTATGGGAAATTATAGTACGTTTGCACGGTGGCATCTTTGTTCCTTTTTTTCCCCTAATTAATCAATATTTTCTTTAAAAGATAAAGATGCTCATGTTAAGAAAAAACAAAAACCAAAGATTACCAAAAGTCATAAGGTGGAAGATACACATGTCTTCCCTTGTCCCTTCCTCTGACTGTTATTCCACTTATGTGGTTTGACTAGTATTAAAAACTGTTTGCCATCCTTGCAGAGGTCTTCTGTTTATTGCTTTTTTCTCTTTTATACAAGTAGAACTATAAAATACATCCTAGGGTGCAATAAGTTTTTTTTTTTTTTTCATATTCATTGTTACTCTCTTCTGGACAAGGTTCTATATCAGTACTTCTTATACTTCATTTCTTTTCATGACCGAGTTTTCTGATCAAGCTGGAATTTATTTAAACAACCCTTTCACACATATCTTTGAGCATTTGTGCAGGTATATCTGTAAGGATGTTTCCAGCAATGGAATTTCTGGGCCAAAGGATTTGCACTTTATTACTGTGATAAGCACTGTCACATTGCCTATCATGGAAACATCTCAGTTTTCATTGTAATTGATGTAATTGAGCATTGAAATTCACAGAATTCTCTAGGTACCACACTGGCCATTCTCTTATGAAAACTGAGTATACAATTAAGATTGCAACCTTTCTAAGTTATCAAGTATTCTTGATCCACTTACACTTAGCTGGAGGACTCCTCCATGTTACTATCATGCAAATTTCCATGAAAGGTAATTTATTCTTTTACATTTCCAAACCTATAGAAACCCAAAGACCCTCTACTCTCACTTTTTAATCTAATGAGTTAGAATCAGACTTACTGTGTCAAAAATCAAAGATATTTTGATATATTAATCTTATATCTTACAATATATTACTGTGGATTTTATAACGCTTTTCCTTTTGAGTTATTTTGGATATAGAATCAACATAAGGGTTACTGTGTTGGTATATTATATTCAAAATAGTTGCTTTTGAGGGGGGCACAAAGTATTATGAGCCTTATATATAGTGAACTTTTAAATTGACATTTGTACACAGTGATATTGGTCATTTAATGGAACAATATTTCCTAACTGCATTTATTTTCTACCCAGGAAGCATCAAGACAATCATGCCCATGAGAACTCTATACCATGCAGGTAATTATGACATTTTTATTTGTCCCCAAAATGTTTTTGTTTTCTATATTATGAAGATGTTATAGTTGTTTTATTTAGATGTACTTTTCAGTTTTCCCCAAAGTTCTGTAACAATCTTTGATTATTATAGCCTTATCTAGATCTATCAATCATTCCTTTTAAACTCTAAAATAGATCTGCATTTTAGACCAACATTATATATAATAGGCATAACAGTTTCTATGAATGTGTTGCTTCATACATTGATAAACATTGCATAATGTATTTTTGCACTAATCTATGCACTATATCTCTAGAGAGAAATGTAGGACACTGATAAAGGTTGGTTAGAAATGACTATACATTTATTTTAATGAAGACTTAAAAATCTTAAGTTTTTATAGATAATATCTACCAAAATTTTTCCTTTGAATAATGTTCTAACCAAAATTAAGGAGTATTTAAAAGGATGACCAAAATTTAAGCATCAAAGAGATTTATGCTATGACTTAATACTCAGCTTGAATTAACACCTTTAATTATGAAATTAATGTAACAGTTCTAAATAGAATTCCTTGAAGTAAAAATCATTTTGAATTTACATAATTTCAGGCACACTATTTAGGAGTGGGTTTGGTTTCTTACTTGATAACTGTTATGACAATCTCATTGTGTTTCCTTTTCTTTCAGATGATTTTATCTTAGTGAAACTGGCAATTGAACTTTGCTCTAGTTGATGGGCAAAATTTCTCCTAGACTATTCATCATCCCAATTTCATCCCAGTTGAAAATATTCAGATGTCATAAGAAATCTTTATAGATTTGCACTTAGCTTTTGGAGAGACATTTCTACCATGGAGAGAACTGTGTTATAGCCCTGGTCGCAGGTCATGACCATCTAATGCCCACAGACTCCGGGTGGGTGTGGAAGGTTCCAAAGAGAAGGAGCACTCAGCAAGTTTGCAGACCTCCTGGAACATGGAAGCAAGCAAGTTTTAAAAAGCACAGCTTTGAAGACACTCCATGAATCTGCAGGGCTTGCAAGCGAAGTAGCACTTAAGACCTTGTGTAACAAAATGGACAGTGGAGACACAGCTCTAGGACAAAAAGCTACCTCAAGGTCTGGAGAAACGGATAAAGGTAGATGGAGGCAGGAACAATCAGCTGTTATTAAGATGAGCACTTTTGGCAGTCAAGAAGGACAGCGGCCGCCACAAATAGATCCTGAGCAAATCGGAAACACGGTATCAGCACAACTCTTTGGTTCGGGGAAGCTGACCTCACCCAGCGAAGTGGCACAGCAGGTCACAGAGAAGCAATACCCACCGCACCGCCCCACTCCCTATTCATGCCAACATTCACTCTCCTTCCCTCAGCATTCATTGCCACAGGGGGTCATGCACAGCAACAAGCCACACCAGAGCCTCGAAGGCCCTCCGTGGCTTTTCCCTGGCCCGTTGCCATCTGTTGCCTCTGAGGACTTATTTTCTTTTCCTATCCCTGGCCACAGTGGTGGTTATCCCAGAAAAAAGATTTCAAGTCTGAACCCTGCTTATAGCCAATACTCCCAGAAAAGTATTGAACAGTCAGAAGATGCTCACAAGAAAGAGCACAAACCCAAAAAGCCCGGCAAGTACATTTGCCCTTACTGCAGCAGGGCGTGTGCCAAACCAAGCGTACTGAAAAAACACATCCGGTCCCACACTGGTGAGCGGCCATATCCATGTATACCTTGTGGTTTCTCTTTCAAGACAAAGAGCAATCTGTACAAGCACAGGAAGTCGCATGCCCATGCAATTAAGGCAGGATTAGTCCCTTTCACAGAGTCAGCTGTGTCTAAATTGGACCTTGAGGCCGGTTTTATTGATGTAGAAGCAGAAATCCATTCAGATGGTGAACAGAGTACAGACACAGATGAGGAGAGTTCTTTATTTGTGGAGGCCTCTGACAAAATGAGTCCTGGCCCACCAATCCCCCTTGAGATCGCCAGCAGAGGTGGCTATCACGGGTCATTGGAAGAATCATTTGGTGGTCCGATGAAGGTGCCCATTTTGATCATCCCTAAAAGCGGGATTCCTTTACCGAATGACAGCTCTCAATATATTGGCCCTGACATGCTACCAAATCCGTCTTTAAATACTAAGGCTGATGACTCTCACACAGTTAAACAGAGACTTGCACTAAGACTGTCAGAGAAAAAAGGACAAGATTCTGAGCCATCTCTAAACCTTCTGAGCCCGCACAGTAAAGGAAGCACTGACTCTGGTTACTTTTCTCGCTCAGAAAGTGCAGAGCAGCAGATCAGTCCTCCAAACACAAATGCAAAGTCTTATGAAGAAATCATCTTTGGCAAATATTGCCGGCTCAGTCCGAGAAATACACTCAGTGTCACCACCACCAGTCAGGAGCGCACCACAATGGGCAGGAAGAGCATGATGGAATCATTACCTCACGTGAACACCAGGCTAGACGTCAAGATATTTGAAGATCCCGTTTCACAGCTGATCCCAAATAAGGGAGAAATAGACCCCAGTCAAACAGGCATGCTGAAATCCACTAAATTCAACAATGAGTCAAGACAACCCCAGATTATTCCATCATCTGTCAGGAATGAAGGAAAACTGTATCCCACAAATTTCCAAGGCAGTAACCCAGTGCTCTTAGAAGCTCCTGTAGACTCTTCACCCCTTATTAGGAGCAACTCCATGCCAACTTCTTCAGCAACTAATTTAAGCATTCCTCCTTCTTTGAGAGGAAGTCACTCATTTGATGAAAGGATGACTGGTTCAGATGACGTGTTCTACCCGGGGACTGTTGGCATACCCCCTCAGCGCATGTTGAGAAGACAAGCGGCATTTGAGCTGCCTTCGGTACAGGAGGGGCACGTGGAGGCAGAACACCATGGCAGGATATCAAAGAATACTGCAGGTTCATCCTTGAAGGAAAAGAAACTGATTCCTGGTGACAGGGTTGGGTATGACTATGACGTTGGCCGGAAACCCTTTAAGAAGTGGGAAGACTCTGACACACCAAAGCAAAGCTACAGGGACATCTCCTGCTTAAGTTCATTAAAACATGGTGGAGAATATTTTATGGATCCCTCTGCACCACTGCAGGGAGTGCCGACCCTGTTCGGAACTACGTGTGAAAACAGAAAACGCCGGAAAGAAAAGAGTGTAGGGGACGAGGAGGACACCCCAATGATCTGCAGCAGTGTTGTCAGCACCCCCATGGGAATGGTGACTTCAGATTATGACCCCAAATTGCAGGTGCAGGAAGGAGTAAGAAGTGGATTCCCCGTGGCTGGATATGAGAATCCTTCTCATGGCCACTTGGAGCGTTTCGAGCCATGTCGACCTCAGTTGCAATCGGGAAGTCTGTCCCTTGGGTCCGAGGAGTCAACCTCTGCCACTGATTCAGACAAGATGTCAGACCTAGGGGGCAGGAAACCCCCCGGGAATGTGATTTCCGTGATTCAGCACACAAACTCGCTGAGTCGACCCAATTCATTTGAAAGGTCTGAGTCTGCTGAACTCATGGCTGGCGCACAAGACAAAGCCTCTTCACCATCTGAGACCTGCGATAGTGAGATCTCAGAAGCCCCCGTGAGTCCAGAGTGGGCACAAGCGGGGGAGAGTACAGAGAGTGGGGGGAAACCCTCTCCTTCACAGCAGATCCAGCAGCCGTCTTACCACACGCAGCCCAGGCTGGTTCGCCAGCACAACATTCAGGTTCCTGAGATTCGAGTGACCGAGGAGCCTGACAAACCAGAGAAGGAGAAAGAAGCCCAGAATAAAGAACCAGAAAAGCCAGTGGAGGAATTCCAGTGGCCCCAGAGAAGTGAGACTCTCTCCCAGCTCCCAGCTGAGAAATTGCCACCCAAAAAGAAGCGTCTGCGACTTGCAGATATGGAGCACTCTTCAGGGGAATCCAGCTTTGAGTCCACGGGCACCGGTCTGTCTCGCAGCCCCAGTCAAGAGAGCAACTTGTCCCATAGCTCCAGTTTTTCGATGTCTTTTGAAAGAGAAGAAACCATAAAGCTTGCTGCACCTCCCAAGCAGGATGAGTTTGGAAAGCATTCAGAATTTTTAACTGTCCCTGCTGGTTCATACTCCCTGTCAGTCCCTGGCCACCATCACCAAAAAGAGATGCGACGCTGCTCGTCTGAACAGATGCCTTGTCCTCACCCAACTGAAGTCCCAGAAATTCGGAGCAAATCTTTCGATTATGGGAACCTGTCTCATGCTCCAATGGCAGGGGCACCCGCGTCCACGTTGTCCCCATCACGGGAGAGGAAGAAGTGCTTTCTGGTGCGGCAGGCATCCTTCAGCGGCTCTCCGGAGATCGCCCAGGGGGATGCCGGGGCAGATCTGAGTGTAAAGCAGGAGCAGATGGAGCACCTGCATGCTGGCCTCAGGCCCGCATGGCACCATACCCCATGCCCCCTGCTTCCTCCTCTCCAGGCAGAGGACCCAGGGAAGCAGGTCGTGGGTCCTTGTACCCAGCTGAGTGCAGGGGCACTCCCCTTGGCTCCACAACAGATCACGCACATGGACAGTCAGGAGTCACTGAGAAATCCCTTGATACAGCCCACATCTTATATTCCAAGCAAGCACCTGTCTGAACAGCCACACTTATTTCCACATCAAGAGTCCATCCCATTTTCTCCAATCCAGAACGCCTTGTTTCCGTTCCAATACCCCACTGTCTGCATGGTTCATTTGCCAGCTCAGCAGCCTCCCTGGTGGCAGGCTCATTTCCCCCATCCCCTTGCTCAGCACCCTCAGAAGAGCTATGGCAAGCCTTCTTTCCAGGCAGAAATTCATCCTACCTATCCCTTAGAGCACATTGCAGAGCACACTGGAAAGAAATCCACTGAGTATGCACACACAAAAGAGCAAACTTACCCGTGTTATTCAGGAACTTCAGGGCTACTCCCAAAGAACCTGCTTCCAAAGTTTCCATCGAACCAGAGCACCATGTCAACTGACACTCCCTCCGAGCAGGTTCTTCAAGGAGATTTTGCCTCAGCCAACACTGGGTCTTTACAGTCCTTACCAGGAACAGTGGTTCCGGTTCGGATCCAGACCCATGTACCGTCCTATGGGAGTGTCATGTACACGAGCATTTCTCAGATTCTTGGGCAGAACAGCCCTGCCATCGTCATATGCAAAGTAGATGAGAATGTGACCCAGAGAACGCTGGTGACCAACGCAGCCATGCAAGGGATCGGGTTCAACATCGCCCAGGTTTTGGGGCAGCAGGCAGGCTTGGAAAAATACCCTATCTGGAAAGTACCTCAGACCCTCCCCTTAGACTTGGAATCCTCCATCCCCTTGTGTTTACCTTCCACCTCTGACAGTGTCGCCACCCTGGGAGGTAGCAAACGGATGCTCTCTCCAGCCAGCAGCTTAGAGCTCTTCATGGAAACAAAGCAGCAGAAAAGGGTCAAAGAAGAAAAGATGTATGGGCAGATTGTGGAGGAGCTCAGCGCGGTGGAGCTGACCAACTCAGATATCAAAAAGGATCTCTCCCGCCCACAGAAGCCCCAGCTGGTTCGACAAGGCTGTGCTTCTGAGCCAAAGGATGGCTCGCAGTCGGGGTCATCTTCCTTTTCTTCGCTGTCCCCCTCCTCGTCTCAAGACCACCCATCAGCCAGCACGCCCTTGAGGGAGCCATACCAACCTGGCTCCAGGGCACCGCTTCTGGGGCAGAAGTCCAGCGGGCCCTCTGAGAGCAAAGAGTCCTCAGATGAGTTGGATATTGACGAGACAGCATCTGATATGAGCATGAGCCCACAGAGTTCCTCATTGCCGCTGGGCGATGGTCAGCTGGAAGAGCAGAGAAAGGTCCAGAAGCTGCCTGTTGGCATGCTGGTGCACATGGCCTCAGGCCCAAGTGGGAAAGTGGCAAACTCAACTCTTCTTTTCACGGATATGGCAGATTTCCAGCAGATTCTTCAATTCCCCAGTCTGCGGACAACAACTACTGTGAGTTGGTGCTTCTTGAATTATACAAAACCCAATTATGTGCAACAGGCCACCTTCAAATCCTCGGTTTATGCTTCATGGTGCATTAGTTCCTGTAACCCAAATCCATCAGGATTGAACACCAAAACCACTCTGGCTCTCCTGAGGTCCAAGCAAAAAATCACTGCAGAAATTTATACTTTGGCTGCTATGCACAGGCCTGGAGCCGGCAAGCTTACATCATCAAGTGCTTGGAAGCAGTTTGCTCAGGTAACTGATGTTGTTTCTGAAAGTGTTCTGGGATGTGGATTTGATTGCTGAGCCAAATACACAGTGAGGGACAGGCAGGCACCTTAGAAAATACAAGCAAAATGAACTTGGGGAACTTGGGGGAGTCCTCTGCCTTGCTCACGGGGGAGAGAAACTGCTTCCTGTGAACTTCATTCTGAGGATCTGGGGAAAATCCCAAACACAGGGTATTTCATCCAGGTGCCATGATGTTCCAGGACAGACACCAATTCCCCTGTGTCCTTTTCCCTTCTAACCCGTGTCAGTGACCTTACATATTGACTTCTTTTGAGGTGAGGTGCTCAGGAAATGGAGAATGGGACTTAGGACAGGGAGTGGATGCTGAAGGAAAGAAAGTTCTGGCAGGAGACCTGTACAGTGTCTGAACTAAATTTTGCAAACTTCAGAGGGCTTGCTCTTATTTTTTTTTAAAGATTTATTTATTCATTACATACAAGAACTGGAGTACAGACCAGACATGTGGGAGGGTGGAGGATTCACTAGAGATAGAGCAGGGAACAGAACAGGCAGATTGACTGAAATACACTGCTGAGGGGAGCAGTGGGCGAGACAGGAGAGGTCTGCCGCGCCATGTGGGTATCTCTCTGGCCAGCCGGGATCGAATCTGCACTGCAGAGGCTGTGGACAGCTTCCCAGCGCTGCACTCAACCGCCTGCGCCACCAGAGAGGCCCCTGAGGGCTTGCTCTTATTGACAAGACTCTCTTATTGACAAGACTTTTTACCACAATTTATCTTTTCTTTCTTTCTCTCAAAATTCATTTTCTCAAGTGATTAGGTGGTTTGTTCCTGCATGAGCAATGAATGCCTTATACCTAAAATTATAAAAATAGTAACAAAGGATACTTTGGAATTTATGCTAAATTATAAAAGAAGTGAGGATTTAAGAATATTTTTTATTTATTTCATTTACAATTTCCCTTCAATCTTTTTTGAGAATATTTGCTTAATTGAGGTTGCAATAGCTGCAACATTAGAATATACAATATTTTTAAAGTTCTTACTGGTATTGCACATGTAGATGCTAATGGAGTATTTTTAAAGAACAAAATATTGAATGTATTCTGTAGAAACTGTCATTCTTTTCTGACTGTCCTTTTTGCCCCTTATTTTATGTAATCAGTGCATGGTTTTTTTTTAGCATGGAGTTTAATTTTCAGCATGTGTCTTAGAGAAAACATGAAATGATTTTCTCTTTCTGTCCTACAGATGAAACCTGATGCATCCTTTTTGTTTGGCAGCAAACTAGAGAGGAAACTAGTAGGAAATATCTTAAAGGAAAGAGGAAAAGGAGATATTCATGGAGATAAAGATATTGGATCCAAACAAGCTGAGCCAATTCGAATTAAAATCTTTGAAGGAGGGTAAGGAAACATAAGTGCAAATATAAAGTATTCAATTATAAGTCAGAATAAATGCTCTTGAATGTCTGCATGGAAAAAACAGTATCTGCTCTGGTTGGAAGTGAGAAGTGAATTCCTCTTCTATTCATTTTCTGAAGACTGGCTAGTAGTAGATATTGAGTGTGTGCCCTAGTCTTCGTGTCTTGCTTTTAATGAAAATGTCTCTGTTATATATGGTTTGAGTCTCTGCTTTAAATGCTCATGCCTCTAATTTAGTGTGATATCAACTAAATTGGTGGACTCTATGTCATCAAAGTATGTTCATTCTTTAATAATATTATAATGGACATTTGTTGTGCTATTAATGGACATACTTTTACTCCAAGCTTACAAAAATGCAGTCATGTACACTCATGTATATTGCTAGAAACTCCTAAATTAATTTGTTTGTTTTATTGCTTTTATTATTACCCAAACTCCAGACTTGGGATTTCATCAGTTCCATCAATGTCCTCTTCCTGTTCCAGGATGCAAGCCAGGGCACATTTGCATTCAATTGACATCATCCCCCGAACTTCCTCTCATCTGTGATTGTTTCTCTGTCTTTAGCATTTAGGGGGAAAATAAAAAGAATTCTGAGTTGTGCAAACTTATGTGATAAGGTTCATTGATTTTGTTATCTTAATAAGAAAAAATACACGTATGTGTAATGTATAATTTTTGATTTTGACAGAAACATATCTTCGATCTACATTCGGATAGAAAAAGTCCAGACTTTTGTTTTTAAAATTAAAAAAAATTTAAAGTACATTAACCATAGCTGGGGCCTTATGAGATAATTAGCCTTATCTCTACAGCAGGCCTATTTTATAAAGATTTCCATGAGCATGAATGTATTCTAATTATATTTGAAGGACAGAATAGAGTTATCTGTTTGACTATTGAAGGGTCAGTATCTAGTCATATGAACTACTGACTTCTCACATAGTTTGAAGATGGATTACTAACGGTGATTCCCACTTAGATTTGGCCCCATTGGGATAGATGCCTAGTATTTTTGTCACTAAAACTACTCTTGTATGTAGTGATGAAGTCATCTCAGGATTTTTTGACAACCCTTATCTTTTAAAACAAACCAGAGAAATGAAGATTTTATCTTTCCTCAGAGACTGAGAGGTCCCCGTCAGTGAATCAAGCCCCTCACAGTCAGCAGTCTTCTTCATAGTGTGCACTTGTACTAGATTAGCAAGACTATCACAATTACTGTGTGGTATGGGGAACCCATCTCCTCTAGCAAAGGATACAAGTGAAAAGGCATATGTGAACGTTTTGTGCACATTTAGTCTGTGTTCTGATGATCCTGTGGGATTGTGACCACATTTCATTTCCTCTTTTCAGTGCCTCATGTTATGGGCTATGTCCTGTCATTTCTTAATCTATGTCCCAACTTCTACCTGGGGCTGACCAGGGGTTCATACCAAGCAATGTGTTACCACCTCTTGTTGTTTTGGTCACTGCAAAGAGACAACTTCAAAAAAAAGGGTATTATTGGCCAAATTCTTAAATGCATGTGTTCCTTTTATTTAATCTAATTGATATGAATAGTAATTCCATTAAACATATCTTTATTATTTTTTCAAAATCCATATCAAGTAGACTCATGGGTCTGTAAACTGTTGAATGGTAAATATTTTATTTGTACAATTTTTTTCCAACTAATAGATATATTTTATACAAAATTCTGGAAGCAAGTTAGTCAGCTAAGACATTATAAATAAAATTATATTATTTGAAAATAAAATGCATTTCCCATCAAACGTGATGATGGGCCTCAGTAAGCTTACAGTATCCTTCTCTGAAGAAATCTAGCTTTCTATAAAATATTTATTTTATTTCTCCATTCCTTGAGCTATTTCCTCTAGTTAAGGACAGAATAATGAAATTAAAAGGTGAAAGATACTTGACATTTTTAGGTTATTTTCTACTATATTACAAAAGACACTGTGATATACAAGATAAAGTTCAAAATAGTTTGAAGAAAAACTGACATTGGAAATTCTTATAAAAATGGGAAAAGACTTAAAGGAGCAAAAAGCATGCAAAATTTTTTGATACTACTTAATTCTCACCTGGATTGGTGCTGGCCAAAAAGTCAATAATGTTAAATTTAAATAGCATCCATAGCTTAGTTGGTATTTAAATGCATGCATGGATTTTCTCTCTTAGAAATTCTCAGTGAATTGGACAAGTAAAGTAGAGCTTGTTTTTATTCTTGATGCTGGATTAGCTAGTACAAAATGGAGAAGTCTGCAATGCGCTTAGAATCTAAAAAAACCTGTAAACTTAGTACCTTTAAGTCAGTTCACAGTGAATGATGGTATTTTGTATATTAGTTTACCCTTTGAAAGGAATACCTTTTCTTACTCTCAAAAGGAATGTCTGTCCAAGAATGATATTAGGCCCATAATTCTAGCTTGGCTGTGATTTAAGAGATCATGATATTTGTCCATTCTTCTGTAGAATGCTACTGTACTCTGTGATAGATTAGGTTTCACTGTAATCTAAACAAAATGTGATGGTTGAGCACTGGATCAGTTTCTCCCTTGATTATCCCAGTGAATACCTAAAGCTTTGTTCATCTAACTGATTTGATTAAACTAAATAACCTCAGACATCCTTTCAAACCTCTCGATTAAATTCTTTTGGAAACAAATGCAGATTTTATTGGAAAAATAGAATCTCTCGTTTTCGTTATATAACAGTACCTTCCAGACTCTGCTTTAGTACAGACTCATGGTCCTTGGGAAGAGCAGATCAAATATGTAGACAACAGTTGGTGAGCTCAGTTCAGCCTGTGTAAGCTGGAAATGGCTGAGACATTCTCACGCCAGCATTGTAAAAATAGAGTGGAAACTTGCAATGGAGAATTCTATTATCAGTTATATTTATTTTAGCAAATTTGGAGGGGTATATGTGTTGTACATGCACATTGTGGATGAGGAATGTAACAAATGATGCTTGATGGTTTGAGTAAGGTGGAATAACTTGTTGGATGTTTCTGATTGAGGTTGTACTAGAGTCCAAAAGTATTGAGGTGTGGCTCTGTAACTCTTTAAGGCTTACATAAGCCCATTTGAATGTCTACACTGAGTCCCTGTGTTTACACTACATGGAAGAGACAGTTCCATTTTGGACTCTATGTAGAAAAAATTACATTTTTGTTTACCATGCCAAACTTGTTATCTAATTTTTTCAGGCATCTGCTGCATAAATTTCATCAGCTTCGTAGAACGAAAGTTGGATAATTGTTTGTAAAAGACCCTCATAAAAATTTGCCATACCAGTGATTAGCTTTTGGTTTGATATATAACATGCAAAAGTATTTGAAAACACACTGGGATCCTTTTTTAAAACAGGTATAAATCAAACGAAGATTATGTATATGTCAGAGGACGGGGACGTGGAAAGTACATTTGCGAAGAATGTGGGATTCGCTGTAAGAAGCCAAGCATGCTCAAAAAGCATATCCGTACCCATACTGATGTCCGGCCTTACGTGTGCAAGTTGTGTAACTTTGCCTTCAAAACGAAAGGTACGGGTCTGGCTTTTTTGAAGAAAAAATTTTTATGGCTACTTTGAATCCTGAATACCATTTCCTTACTTTCTTCGACACTACATAATATTGTTTGTGACAGTGCGACACCACTGCATGTATTTTCTCCCTCATGTAAGTGATTAAAGGATGTACATGAGACAGCAAGGCTCCTTTTATGACTTAAGTAAGGGCTGTAAATGTAGGTCCAGGCCAACTGTCTCCAAAGGAAGTGGCTAAGAATTTCCTGGAGAGCTATTACATTATGTTGGAAATGTTACATGGTCTAGAAAATCTTTGCACGAGTCCTGAAATTCTGCAGGGAGAGAATCCATGCATTGGCATTAGAGAAGCCGAGCAGAAGCTGGGAAGAAAACATGTGCTGTGGTCAGTTTCAAGATCATAAATAATGTAGAGACCCACAGACTCCCAGGTGGGTCCCACCGTGCACACTTGCATTAATTATGCATAGAAGTTTGATAGCCTGTGCTCTGTGTATTTATCAACACAGAGACAATTTCTTACTCTCAGGCCACAATTGTTAATCTCAAAACTAAGAAACGACACTCTGTTTTTTTTTTTTTTTTAATCTGTTTTGAACCTTAAGATGTATATTAAAATATTTTGCAGAAGAAAGTTGCTTTGATAATTTTATCATTTTATAAAATTTTATAAAATGAACATGTTCATAATGCGGTATTCTAAGAATACAAAACAGTAATGAATTAGAGGTGATTTGTTCTTTGTAGAAGTACCTTTTACTGCTATACCAATGGATTCTCTAGACAATATACCCCCTTACTTACCTCATATCTGCTTTAAATTTGCAGAACAAGGAACCTGTTTCACTACTCATCAAGAAAAATAAGTATCAAATAAAATAATCGTTGGTAGAGAAATGTGTCTCTCTTTGCTTATAACCCAAATCCTAAGTTACCTTTTTTAGTTTGTCAGAAGTATAAATGTATAGCCTCTCAGCAAGTCCTGTTTCTTCTTTATTAAAAAGATATTTATATTACAGGCATGCCGCCTTCTTTGAGGCCAGGAAAAGAGGGGATAAAGGGAGTGTCATTAGCATTTCAAAAGAGATAACCTTAATGTCTTTTAAATATCATCCACTTTTGCACAATCAAGCTTTTTATATAAACCCTCACTGAGAGAGACTCCCCAGGAGTTGAGAAAATATAAACGTTGGTTTTAGGAAATACTGAAAATCTGTCAATCATGAAAACTGATCTATCTTAATTGGGTATGAGTCAGCTGTAGATTTAGCTGTGTGAAACACTGGGTGAGAGACATCACATTGCTAGATTTTTTTTTTTTTTTTCCTGATCAAATGAATTGGACTGTGAACCATCGTCCTGGAGTTTTAGCAGGATATGATTTATTCTTGGTCATTACTGGAGTTTCCTTGCCATCATTTGGGAGTGTACAGATGTCTCAGAATCTTAAAAAGAGTAAATCATCCTGGGAAATCCTGTGCCTGTTGTCAAACTATGTCATCTGAGTGCAGATCTGGCGCCTACTTGTGGGGTCAGTCCCCTCTCCATCCTTGTACCCCTCCTTTGGGACACTCCCCCTGCCATCCTGTGCCCCGCCCCCCTCGCTGTAATCCTTCGGATGTTCAAGAGTTCAATAAAGTAAAGCCAGGATGGGGTTGTTTCAGAACTAGATTTCTAACTTTAAATCTACCTTTAAAGATCAGAGCCCAAAGTCTGATCTTCCTCTTGAAACAGGTAGAGAGAAAATTGAAAAGAAACACATACTGACATCAAAATAAATCATCTTGACATGTCTAACATGACACCCATCCATATGACTTGCCCCCTGGAAGAAACTGATCAGTTTATACCTCTTTACATTTATACATTTTAGAATTCTTGGTGATTTAACTATAAAAATATGGAGATCTTCAGAAAAATTGTAGATATGATTTTTTGATAAGTAAGAACAGAACAATAGGGTTCAAAATATTTCCATGTTCAGAGTTATCAAAATAGCATATAAAATTCATAGGTATATAAGATGTATTAAGTAAAAAATAAAGCAATACAAATAGAATAATAAATAATAGTGTCCCAGTGTAGAATTATATATCATGTATTACATTAAAAGTAATAATCACCCCTGCAAAGGGATTAGACTATTTCAGAAAGCAAGAGTTTCCACCTCGATTCAATGAATCCACTTCTAAAAATACAGTATTGCTGATAAATTGCCAAAGCAGCATTGAAGGGCATAGATAAAACATGACCCTTTTAACTGAATTAATTCCTGGATCTTTTCCAATAAATAAATACACATGTAGGTATGTATATGTATGCGTGTGTGTGTATATATATATAATTTCATAGATCCTATGTCAAAGGTGGTTAAATCAATATTTTCCTAATATCTCATATTCCATATAGTGATTATATAAAGCTACAGAAAACACACACACATATGTATACATATAATTGTGTATAGCTATATCATCACCACAATACATACTTGACATGAAAACTTTTCTTTTTCCTTAAAGCAATAGAGTTTCAAAATAAATAACAAGAAAATATTGCTTTTCTAAAACTTTAGAAATTATTGTTGCAAAATTTGCTGACAGATACAGATAGATAGGTGCTAAATATTGAAAATAATGTTCTTATAAATAGCGAGCTAAGTATTTGTATCTTTGAATTCATTTATGGGCTGGTCCTAACATTAATCTGCATATCTTTTTTTCTCCTGACTAGTGAGATTCCTTCAAGTTGTTTTTTTATTGTTTGTTTTTTTAAAGTTTTATTTTTATTTGTTTATGCATATAAGAACTGCGGTGTAAACCAGAGTTGCAGGGTGAAGGGTCATTGAGAAGATTCACCAGAGACAGAGTGGGGAGCAGAACAGGCAGACCCACTGATTTCACTGCAGACAGGAGCAGTGAGCAAGACAGGAGAGGTCTGCTGAGCCATGTGGGTCACCTCTGTGGTCAGGGACAGAACCCATGTTGCAGTGGCTGCCAATAGCTTGATAGTGCTAAGACTTAACCCCTTGTGCCACCAGGGAGGTCCGAGATTCCTTCAAGTTTTATCTCTATCATTGCCAGATGTCTGGGGTCTGATGGGGATGGTGATTGTGTATCCCTGGTGATAGGGAGTCCAAGGAAAGCGAGTCTTTGGGGCCAAAGATACCGTATGCCCTCTCAACTGGGAAAGCCTGGGGTTCCCAGTCATGCCTGAACCCTGCTCTTTCAGTCTTTTCAGATAAAGAACACCTGAGATAAGATATAAAGAAAACAGCTCTGATGTCTTCTCCAACTAGATTTTCCCTCTTAAGTTGGAGGCAGGAGTGAGTGAATAGAGACAAAGATATGTTATCTCAAGTTAGTTCCTTTCATGTTGAATTTGGGAGCAATTATCACATTTTGGTAACCAATTTTGGGGGGTGGGGTGTGCTGTGTTTTCTAGGAAACCTAACGAAGCATATGAAATCTAAAGCACACATGAAGAAGTGCCTGGAATTGGGCGTCTCGATGACATCAGTGGACGATACAGAAACTGAGGAAGCAGGTATTTCACAGTTTAGTTGAATGGTCTCTTCACTAAGCTTTGTGGCCCAGGTGGTAAATAAGTTTAGATATTTTCAAAAACCTAATCCCATTTCACTTTATTAAAAAACTGAATATAGAAAAGAAGTCTGACACATTGAATTGCTTGAAACCAACTGAGAAGAAATAAATGCATTTCAGTTCAGATTGAGGGGGGGAAATACTTCTATCTCGAACCATAAAGGAATCTAATTGCACTTGCATTATGATGTGTATTTAAATTTTAATACTATGTGATTTAAATTTTATGAAAATTTTTGGGAAATTTGAAAAGCATTTTAATATGACATTTTTCCTATTAGGAAGAAATCTAGTAGAAAAATAATCCATCATTAACCTCAATAGAAAACCTGAGGGTCAGCCCAGCCTCCACAGATATATCACATGTACATAACCATACCTATTGAGAGAAGTCATTGCTTTTCTTTTTCTTCTGGTGTCATCATTAACATTATGTACCCATTTGTTGAGGTTTTTCTATAAGCAGAATGATGGCTGAGATAGAAGTTCCCATTCCAGAGTTCTCATTGTAGGGCAGGAGAGAACCACAGGGGTTAAGATCAGATAGATAAGAACCATTTCTGGGTCACAGAGGTAGGCGCCTGGTGATACAGGACTTACAGAAATTCAAAGATGGAATTTGCTCTGGGGTTGGCGGTTAAGGAGGACTTTTGGAAAGATGGTGCCTAAATTAGATCCTAAACTTGCTGTTTGGATCTTGATCGCTACTGTCTTTGTTAAATTGTTACAGAAACGATGGAAGATTTGCACAAAGCAGCCGAGAAGCATAGCATGTCCAGCATTTCAACTGATCATCAGTTCTCCGATGCTGAAGAATCAGATGGTGAGGATGGAGATGACAATGATGATGATGATGAAGATGATGATGACTTTGATGACCAGGGAGATTTGACACCAAAAACAAGATCAAGAAGCACCAGCCCTCAGCCTCCTAGATTCTCCTCCTTGCCTGTGAACGTTGGCGCCATACCCCATGGGGTCCCCACAGATAGTTCCCTGGGGCATTCTTCATTGATCAGCTATTTGGTTACTCTGCCAAGTATTCAGGTTACTCAGCTTATGACACCAAGTGACTCATGTGAAGACACCCAGATGACAGAATACCAGAGGTTATTCCAGAGCAAAAGTACAGACTCGGAACCAGACAAAGACAGGTTAGACATACCTAGTTGTATGGATGAAGAGTACATGCTATCTTCAGAGCCAAGCTCCTCTCCGAGAGATTTCTCTCCCTCAAGCCGCCATTCTTCACCAGGATATGATTCTTCACCCTGTCGAGATAATTCACCAAAGAGGTATCTGATACCCAAAGGCGATTTATCACCCAGAAGACATTTATCACCTAGGAGAGATCTGTCACCCATGAGACATCTTTCACCAAGAAAGGAAGCTGCATTGAGAAGAGAGATATCACAAAGAGATATTTCACCAAGAAGACATTTGTCCCCAAGGAGGCCAGTGTCACCTGGGAAAGATACTGCAGCAAGAAGAGACCTTTCTCCCAGAAGAGAGAGAAGATACATGACCACCATCAGAGCACCATCTCCCAGAAGGGCTTTATACCATAACCCACCATTGCCCATGGGGCAGTATTTGCAAGCAGAGCCAATTGTATTGGGGCCGCCTGTAAGTATAACTAGCTTTCTCTTTCTGATATATACAATGGAGCCAATTGATAACAGTCCTGTGAAATTCATTGTAACATGAAATATCACTCATTGGAGGAGTGGATTTGGTTCTGAAAATAGCAGGAATGTTTTTATTGCATGCTATTGTCAGCAATAAGACTGGGGCATTATCCCCAGGTGGTGTTGCATCAGAGCAATAGTGCATTGCCAGCTTAACAGGTGAGGGCTTCCTAAATGCTTTCCAAGTTTAACTAATTGTAGACATGAGCTGAATGAAACCTTTTCATCAATTGAGAACATGAAACGACTATATATACTGACGCTTGCAGGGACATTTAGGTGTCAGTTATATAACTCTTTGCCAGGTAAGGATTCTGATTCAGGCATTAGCCATGACTTTTAAAAACCTGAAAAACCAAATATCTTATTACCCTTCCCATAGTGAGTAGACATGGGAAACTTGTGAAGGACTGATGAGGACAGATGGGCTCATTGGCAGGTTGGTAAATCAAGAACATAGATGCTTTTGTTTCTTGTCATGAAGACCACCTCCTGCTACCAAGTACACTTGTTCAGTGAGGAGGTGGGCCCATTGAGAGTGGGAAATTGGGGAAGACAAGGAAGTATCAAAGGAGATTTCTATGGTATGTTCTCATTATATATTACAATAACAGCAGTAGTAATCATGGATTCATTTGATTATCTTCAAAGATTATTATTGTAGGTATTAAGAGTTCTTCCTCATTAACAGTTGTTTGATGAAGGAAGCATATATTTTTCTAAACCAGAATGAATGTAAGATGGATTTTTGATAGCATTCAAAAATTCATTCTCATACCATGGAATTCTCACCTTACCTAGTTTATGGGGTTCTAGTGGTTATAGGATTCTTGATGACATTATTTCTCCTGTACTTCCAGAACACATCATTTGTTTCTAGATTGAACATGGCATAGTCTGGAACAAAAGCAAAGGCCAGCCTTGGCACAGAGTAGCACAAACTCATCCCTTAGTCACTCCTGAGCCCATCTTGCTCTCTAAATAAAACTGGATATCTTGAGTTTCAGAACTGAAATGACCTTGAAGTAAATTGGAACTTTGTTTTGCATTTCCTGGTTTAATCATACTTGATAAGTTCCCATCTTTCAGATTTTAAGTTCTCTAAAAATCAAAAGAAACTGAAGTTCCCTTTAGATGATAATTCATTGAAAGAATGAATCTCAGTAGCTGAAAACTCTTGGTCTCATTACAGCCTGATAACCTCTCAGTCTAAATTGTGTTTTGCTAAAAAAAAGAATGTTAGAAAATAAGTTTTCCACAATCAGGACTGGAACTATGAAATCTGGAATTCAGGACGAAATTTTTAAGCTTTCTTAATTCATCAATTGCCAAGAGGATGTTTAGTGGGAATAGTAATATAAAAAAGGAATTAAAACACAAAAATCTTTGGTTCCCAGCTCTACATTTGAATATGCTTTGTAGCTATTTGAAATACTTAATGTTAACTACTTATCTGGTGGATAGTTTCCCTACAAGAACTGACCTAGATTTGGGACTTGAGGAAGAAGCTGGTCTTCCTCCTGGAGTGTCTCTGACAGGAATGTATCCCTATAGCCCTTGTCTTGCACCTTGATGTGCCACCACCATGTGGTCATCTCTTCTGTGGAAAGTTGTTTTCTTAAACCAGTTTTCAGGCATGTCACTCATCAACATTTAAGAAAAAAATATTGCAACTCTGCCTAGAATATCAACAGATGGCAATCACTTTACTTTCTTTTGAATTTAAAAACAGCTATCACTAGTGTTGTTTTTTTTTTTTTCCTCCCTGAACTTTTTCCTGGTAATTATCCATTATTTTCTTTTCATTCTCTCTTATGAAAAATAACCGAGCTGAAATGTGTCTCTGTACCCAGTGGAAAACACACTGCATGTTTTATCACATTGCTGTTTAAAAACAAAAGTAACTATTCACAAACCAACAGCTTCTTTCAAGGATTATAAGACAACTGAGAAATCTCTTGTCTTGAGAAATGAAAAACTGGTAAAAGGATGAGGTCGTTTTCAAGTGTTCGGAGGAAGCGAGGAGATGAAATAACCTACCCATGAAGAGCTGTGGGTCCTAATGCTGTGGGTCCTAATGCTGTGTTCTCTGTTTCCCTGTGCAGAATTTAAGAAGAGGATTATTACCTCAGGTTCCTTACTTCAGTCTCTATGGAGACCAAGAAGGTGCTTACGAACATCCAGGTTCCAGCCTTTTCCCTGAGGGTCCTAATGACTATGTCTTCAGTCATCTTCCACTCCACTCCCAGCAGCAAGTGCGCGCTCCTATCCCCATGGTGCCAGTCGGTGGAATCCAAATGGTTCACTCCATGCCGCCAGCCCTTTCCGGCTTCCATCCTCCACCCACTTTGCCTCTGCCAATGGAGGGCTCTGAGGAGAAGAAGGGCGTTTCAGGGGAGCCCTATGTCAGTTCTAAGCAGCATGAGAAGCGACCGCCTCACGCCTTGCAGTCATCTGGTCCGCCTAGCTCACCCTCCTCTCCCCGGCTATTGATGAAGCAGAGCACTTCGGAAGACAGCCTAAATGCCACCGAGAGGGAGCAGGAGGAAAACATACAGACTTGCACAAAAGCCATCGCCTCTCTCCGGATTGCCACAGAAGAGGCCGCTCTGCTTGGGGCAGATCAGCCAGCACGGGTGCAGGAGGCCGGTCAGAAACCCTTGGAAAATGCACATGTTAGCATCAGACACTTTAGTGGACCTGAGCCAGGCCAGCCCTGTCCCTCAGCACCCCACCCTGACTTGCATGATGGTGAAAAGGACAATTTTGGTTCATCACAGACTGCATTAGCGCACTCTGCGTTTTACAGCAAGAGTTGTGTAGATGACAAACCGCCGGGCTTTCACGGCAGCAAAGAATTCCCTTCAAGCACAGAGGAAGGCAAAGACCCTTCGTCAGAAAAGAGTCAGCTTCATTGATCTAAGATGCATGGAGACTTTCATTTCCACATTTTCCCATTTTGTTTTTGTTTTTCTAGAAATAGAAGTAATCGAGTTTATAGCATGCCTGTCCTCAGTTACAGTAGTTTGCTATTATATATACTTTTGTTATATCAAAGAAATTAGGTAAATTAACAAGTCATCATGAGCCTGACCAAAACAAAATTTGAAATTAACCTACTGGGTCTGGTACTTTTAAAATTGTACAGATGTTTGTGCCTTTTCTTTACTTTGCTTATATTCTTATAAGCATTTTTTAGCAGTAATTTGTACATATTTTAGAATTTGTGTATCTGCTTTGTAATAAATGTAATTTCTTTCCTTTTTTGGACACTTGGATCTAAATGATGTAAAGCAAAACAAGCATCAATATATATGTGAGGTTGCACTAAAACATATTTTTATATGATTAAAACTGAACAGCTTTTATGTACAGCTCTGATTCTGTAATACTAATATTTATTTACTTTGTTTCATAAATTGTACATTTTTTCTTAATGTTGTGGATTGCTTTTCTATGTGAAGCATGGGATTTACTGTTGCATAACTAGAACAAAAATGTATATTGTAAACAAGATATTTAAACTAGAGTATCTTATTCTGCACTTATGCATTAGTTTTAAAAAAAGATAAAAGGATGTATCAGTCAGTTCTTAACTCTTGTAAATTTTTTTGTCTCTTGTTTGCTGAATTGACTATAACTTAAGTGCTGATTGTGATTTTAAACTGATAGTACCGTAAAGCATTAAAGTAAACAATGTGCTATTGTGAGTTTTTTCAAAGCTTTATAAATCAGTTATAAATAATATTAAAAGTATTTGGTCTTATGTGAACATGTTGCTCTATATACTCATCTAAAAATATGGGAAAACATTCCACCCCGTGTAAATATGTACAAGTGCATCACTGGTACAGTTTTATGTAACTAGGTTGGACACTAGGGTGCCACAGACCTATGATAGGGTGTCTTTAAAAAGTAACAAAGCACATGGGACTGTATAGAGCTTGGTTATCGGCCGGCCCGGTGGCTTGGCAGGCAGTGCTGTGCGCTGCCCCTGGAGAAGACCTGGGCTTGGAAATCTCCTTGGTTCTTGCTGCACAAGATGGTGACTGGCGAGAAGGCTACTACAGAGGGGTCACGCATGGACTCTGAGGGTCGGGTGTGGAAGCAGGGAGGGGCATGGAGATCAGCTCACCAGCCCTTCCTGTCAGCCAGTCCACATGGGAACAGGGTTGGCATCAGCTTTAGGGGAAGCCACTTTACCCTTTTGAAAAGGGGAAGAGTGTCACACTCCTGGCTATCTCAGGGGGAATGGGAAAAATAAGTTTCCAGGGGAAAAGAACTTGTGGGAGGATGATGTCTTGTATATAACAATCAGATTGGGCTTTGGTTAGTGCTGAAGGTGGACAGAGCCTCTGTAGGTCCAGAAGAACAGAAGAAGAGGAAGAGGGACAACAACACATGCGTGCATACACACACACACACACACATACACACAACACACACAATCTGGGTTATCTTTGTGCTATATAGTGGATTATAATTCTGTGAAACCAAGTTTGTATATTGAATTACATTAAGGAGTGTTCTTTAAAAAGAGAAATAAATATACAATTACATGCTTGAGGTGTCTAGTTTTTATGTGTTGTTATATAATTTTAATCTCCCAATTTTGCTTCTAAGAAATTTTGATGCTACCAACATACCATCTGTGCTTTTAATTGCTAGGCTCTGCCCATCCCAAAGTGTGCCAAGGATGAATGCTCTTAACAAGTGAAAAGGCAGTCACTGGCTTCTATATGTCATTCAGTTAGGACAGAGTGGTCACCAGTGTGAGCTTCAGAAATCACCTCCAGAACCTAACATGGACATGGGCTGAACACACCATACCTGAAAAGAGCCATGAATTTGCACACACATGTGAATTTCCACTGGGAAACCTCTTTGTTATTTTTACCAAAGTGACTGAAGGCCAAAACTGACTGAAATAAATATACCATAATATGTCCACAAATCAGATATTTTATTATAAAAGAGTAGAACCTTTTTAATAATGAAAGTAGAACCTCATTAAAGTTCAAAAATGTATCAGTATTTCCACTAGAAAAAGCTCAAATGGGTGGACTTACAACTTACCTACTTTGTTTGATGAGCCAAACCATCTATTTAAAGTATGTTTTACAAAAATGAATCAAGCCTAATAAAACTAGGCAGCCTAATGTCTGTTCTCACCAAAAAGAATCCGTGAAACATTTTATTATATAAGACAATTTGTATGTCTTATCCCTTATTGATGTGTGTGTGTGTATGTGTGAATGGTTCTAGGCCAAATTATTTCGCAGTTTCCTTCCTTCATTTGAGGTAGTTTTTTGGGATCAATGGGTTTGGAGTGAGGGGTCCTTGGGTTCACTGTAGGAAAAGTGTCACCAGAGCTCCCCTTTCAGCAGCACACAGTGAGTTTCCCAGGCGAGTGTCTCCACGAGTTGGAGACATAAGTTACATTTAAAGAACAGGTTTATTAGGAAAAGGGGACAGAAGAATGAAGGACACTTGCATAGACACAAGCATGCAGGAAGAGCTGCCCCGAAAGGGACAGGTTTGCTGAGAGAGGCCTGCATGGTTGCAGGCAGGCAGCCTTGAGGAGAGCGGCCTTCCCTGAGGGTGGTCAGTGAGGAGAAGCCCTGGCAGGTACAGGTCACAGGCAGGCAGGAAGGCTGCTGCCCCAAAGAGGGAGAGAGTTGGTGAAAAGAAGCACCTGCATAGTCACAGGTGGGCAGAGGACTGCTGCCCCATGCCAGTGCAGAGACTGCCCTGATACAGTCTTTTTCTCTTTGGGAGTGGCTCACTCCTTTGTGGAGTGTCCTGTTTGCTGCTGATTTTGGATAACAATGCAGTCTCCATCTCCGTATCTTTACTCTCAGATCTGTGCTCCAGCAGTGTGGTATCTGCTTGGGCCTTATGCATTGTGATAAGGCACTGGTGCCTAAAGAGTTTGGTTTCTATAGCTGGGTTGATGGTCATGTTAATCCCCTGTACCCCCACCTCCTTGTGTGAGTCAGGTTTTAGTCTTGTGATGCCTCCTTTAGGATCTTCTTATTCTTTCCTCCATCACACTTCTACACAAAATAGTTTTTAGGTGCCTACTATGAACTTGGTACCATGCTGGGCATTTAGGCTGAACAAGAAACTCAGCAAGGATCTCAATTAAATAGACATGGCCTATATGTGAGTGAATATGTATAATATGATGTTAGGGCTAAAATAATGGCACATTAGGTGCATTTTGTAATAGCAAAGGAAAGAGCAATTACCCTGGTGAGACTGGAAGGTGGATAGGGCAGGCTTCATCACAGAGTCAGCCTGAAACAGATATACTGATTTATTTGAAACAATATATTGATTTAGTTATTAAACAGATAAATTTTCCTCACCTACAGTAGGACACAGATCTGGTAGGTGTATAGTATTGCATGGAGCATTAATGTCCTTGACTTCATGGAGTTTACATTCTAGAAGTAGCAGGAGATAAAAGAAATGGGGAAGGACATGTTAGATAATCCAAGACATGTAAAGAGTGATGGGGAAAAAACAAGAGGTAGCCGGTTCCCTGTGTATGTGACGAGGGGGTATGTGGTTAAGTTAACAAGGCACAACAAAGCCCAATTTCCTAATCCAGATTAAGAAACTCAGTTCTGGCTCTATAAGCAATGGGGAGCCCAGGAAGGATAGAAGTGAGGAAGTGGCATGCCATTTGTGGGTTCCCCAGTCACCCTTGTTCTTGGGATGTAGTCTTGGAGCCCAAAGTTCCTGCTGGTCAAGACATCCTATCTCTAATCCCTGTTTACACTTAATTTCCTGTCAAGGTGCTCTAGCTGGTTATGCTAATCTGGCCATAATGTCTGCCTGCGGGTTTTCAGCAGATATCCTCATGCCAAGACTTTTGTCCTGGTAAGAGGCCCCCTGCTTTACTCTACATTTTAGCTTTGCCAGCAGGAACTTTGGGCCCCAAGACTGTGCCAGCAACAATTCAAACAGATGATAAGAGGCCTGGAGAGTTTAACTTAATGAAGAATTGATAATAGCTAGCAACTGATTAACTGATTTGGTGTCAGTGATGAACGAAATGGAGGAAATAGGGCCTCCCCGGTGGCGCAGAGGGTTGAACGCCATGCTGTGAAGCTGTCCGCAGCCTCTGCAGCCGGGGTTCGATTCTCGGCCAGCCAGGGAGATACTCACATGGTGCGACAGACTTCACCTGTCTCACCCGCTTCTCCCTTCAGCAGTATCTTCCATCCGTCTGCCTATTCTGCTCCCCACTTGTCTCTGGTGAATTCTCTCACCCTCCCACGCCTCTGACTGTACCCCAGTTTTTATGTAAATAAAAAAATCTTTTAAAAAAAATGGAGGAAATAAAGATGCAGGTGTTTTTCACTTGGGCAATGGAAAGAGAGTAGATCTGTACTAGATTCAGATAAAATGAGCTAAGTGATTCACATATATTGATTTACTTGAAACAACATATTGATTTATTCATTCAACAGAGAAATTTTTATCACCTATAGTATGTGAGTGATTCAGAATGAGTTCAGTCTCCCAACAAGATAGTCCCAAATTAGGTGGAGACTGGTTTGTCCGTTCTTGTCACTTAGTCATAGCTGAGAGTTCTGAATTGAATGCAATCACTCAGGGCATGTGGAGAGTAGGAGAGGAAGTTTGGGGACTTCCCTTTGAGGACAGAGAGCTTGGGTGCCAGCCATGAAGACATATTTCAGATGACAGCACAGCTTGTATGCTGAACCCTCGCTGTACATAAATTTGTGAATTTTTTTGGAAACTTGATTTTCATAAGTTCTCCAAGATAATTTCTAGAAATAAAACCTTAAGAACATCATATTTTGAGAAAAAAAGGCCATCTCTATATGTGGAATTACAAAACTATGGCATTTCCTAAAGTAACATCATAGCCACTTTATTATTAGACAACCAGCTAGAGAATATTAAGTGATTAGCTAAAGAAAACTAAACTAACTTGTGATTTGCAAACATCTTTTCAAAACCTATGGTTTAGGGCCTCCCCGGTGGCGCAGCGGTTGAGCGCTGGGTTGCGAAGCTGCCCGCGGCCTCTGCAGCGCCGGTTCGATCCCCGGCTGCTCCCCGGCCACCGGAGGAGGGTCCCGCATGGCGCGCAGACCTCTCCTGCCGCCCGCTGCTCCCCTCAGCAGTGTACTTCGCTTCTGCCTGCTCTGCTCCTCGCTCTGGCTCTGGTGAATTCTCTCACCCTCCCGCGCTTCTGACTGTACCCAGTGCATGTATAAACAAGCAAACAAATAAATAAATAAATAAAAACATGCCTCTATAAAAAAATAAAAAAAAATGTTTAAAAAAAAAAAAAAACCTATGGTTTAGAGAAGTTAAGTTTATAAGGAGAAATTGGTGGTTCACTGAGGAACCAAGTTAATATCAAGATCTCCCAATTTCCACTTAATTGTGCTATACATTTAAAGTTTCTCTTAAAATTTTGCTTGAAGAACAGGTGCTGATTTTTTTAAACTGTTCTCATTAATTAAGTATTTCAGTGAAAACGTTAGGATTGAATGAATCAGAGCAATACATGAAACACAAAGCCCATTTCTGCCTTGGGTTTAGTAAATATGGCTGCATCTACTTTGCCACAGTACAAACCCCCTACCCCCATCCCTCAGGGGTCATTTAGCATCATATAGAGCATGAAAATATTCCACGGATTTCTGAGTGTAAAGAAAGTTCTGCTTAATCATACATACATTAGCAAACCAGGCTTGGCCATGCAGTCACTGCGCTGAAGAACAGGGAAAATGACAGTCAGTATTTATTTGGCATTAAGCAGTGCTCAAATTTCCAGAATTTTCTATAGATCATTTTATGTGTATACCCATCGCTTGGCAACAAGTAGGATGACATTCAGAAATATATGTTGGTCATCAAAATGAAACAACAATAATCAGATTTCCTCTCCATTTACTCAACACTTAAAACATATTTTCAATTCAACTACAGATCTCTGAAACATTTTATACCTCAAGAAGATTTCAAGCTTTGTTATCTTACTGAAATGCAATTTGAATGATTATCATTTGATGTGAATAAAATTTCAATTCAACAAAAAACTAGAATGATGAATGATATAATGTATTAATTCAATAAAGATCATGTCAATAGATAAAATATTTTATTTTTATTTATTATTTTTTAAAGATTTGGGCCTCCCCGGTTTTACAGCAGGTTGAGCGCGGCCCTGTGAGGCTGTCCGCAACTTCCTCGGGTTCGATCCTGGCCGGCCGGCGGGCGAGGGTCCCACATGGCGCGGCAGACCTTTCCTGTCTCACCTGTTGCTCCGCTCAACAGTGTATTTCACTCAGTCTGCCTTCTGCCTGTTCTGCTCCCCACTTTGCCCCTGGTGAATCCTCTCACCCTCCGGGAGAGGTCTGCCGCGCCATGTGGGTTTCTCCCTGGCCGGCTGGAATCGAACCTGCATTGCAGAGGCTGTGGACAGCTTCACAGTGCAGCGCTCAACCAGCTGCGCCACAGGGGAGGCCCAATAAAATATTTTAAAACAAAGATGTTTCTACCAGAAATGTCTAAAGT